AGACCAACCATTAAATGTGACATTTGAAGCGTTTAAGGTAAAGGAAAACCAGGACAATATGTTTAAAATAATGCTTAAAAACTTTTGGCACAACACACACAAGAGAAATGAACCAACAAGAACACAAGCAACACAAACACTGAAAAACCAACGCGACGCGATGGTGTCAGCCTTTACTAAAATGCTCGACAACAACAAACCGCCAGAACCACCGCCAAAGAAACCACCAGAGGATGACAGCGATGAAGAAGAAAAGAAGTTCAAACTGACAAAAATGATAGAAATAATGCTACACAACGGCGCTACAGTAGCAGATATCATATTAAACTTATCGCACAGCGCAATTGCAACAACTATAAATATCGCAGATTTAGTCAATCAGATAACGGCAGGACATGCACAAAGTAGCAGTAGTTCTTCTAGTGAAATTATTAGTGTTCATAGTTCTCCACCTATTACTGTCCATAGTTCTTCATCTGAAAGTCCAACAGAAATACCAGCACCAACTGAAGACGAAGAAGAAGAAGAAAACCAACATTTCAATTTTGAAAAATTAAAATCTAAATAATATTATATATAATGGGTATTGGTCAAAGTAAAAATAATGAAAATAATAGTTTGGAAGACATTAAGAATTTAAGTATAGATGAAAAAACACGAGCAGACACTTTAATTATTAAATCTCTTCAAGAATGTGTGACACGAATTGAAAAACTAGAGAAAGAAAAATCTGACAAATTAATATATAAACTTCCTGCTTTACAATTTTGCAATGCTTCGTTAATTTAAATTAATAATATTAACATATAATAATATTATTAATTGCTATCATAATCTGTCATTTTATCCTCTGGTATTGTTGTTGAAGTAGTACTACTTATATCATCTATTAAATCTTCTTCATCAACAAAATTATTTTGAAATCTTAATAATTCCTCGTCTGTTGCCCTTCTTTTCAACACTTTATAAAGCTTATGTATCCAAGAATTAGTATGAAAATTATAATTACCTCTACGATAAAATCCACCACATCTACATAGTTTCATTGACATATTATTATATTATATTAAATTAGAATATCTTTATTCATCATTCGTAATTTGAAACGCCTGTTCAAATCTGATATGAAACATTTTGTTAATGTCTTTAGCATTCATATTCACGTAGAAGAAACTATAAGGTGCGTCATTAACGGCTTGATGATACATATCTAATAATTGCTGTTTATCAACAATGGCGCTATTTTCTTCAATAAAACTCATTAACTCACTTGCATTTTTCAACCTAAAAATATATAATGAACTGGCATTTAAACGAATGATAGGCGCTAAAACATTATATTTTTGTGTTGAACAAATTACACTTACTGCATCGTGCCTACCTCTTGTAAATAATCCATGTAATAATTTACTATATCTAACAAATTTAGGATCGTCTGCGTGGTCATCTATAACGATTAATATTGAATGCAGTTTCTTTATCTTTTTAGATTTCATATAATTAATTATTTTCTTCTGTCTTTCAATTACATTTTCTAAATCACTTGGGTTATAATTATCAAAATATATTTGTTCTTTTTCATCATCCACGTGCAATTCATCCCTGATGTATTTTTTAACTTCTGTAAAAGTTGGGTCATTATGAACGCTGGGGGGAAAATATAAATATTCTTGCAAATTAATTTCTATAAACATTTAAAATAAGATTCTGAACTAAAACTGTTTTGCCTCCCGTCGAACTCGCAACTATAATACTTCTAAATGGTAATTTTGGCACGTGCTCATATTTGGATTGTTTGAATTCATATTCAGTTATGTTTATTGGTTTTATTATTGGGACATCTGTCATAGTTGATATTAAAGAAATATAGAAAATTATATTTAAAAATTAACTTGTAATTAATATTAAATGGAACATCATTATGTTATGAGTGGCGGTGAATAACATAATGGAACAGGTTTTCCATTGCTTCAATCAATAAGCATTGAAGATAATTAGTTTTGTGTCTTGCTCGCGTGTGCAATGAAAACCCAAGTGCTGTGCCCCACCAATATTCTATTATGCATGAAAATAATAAGATCAAATAATTATTTTTAATAATTATTTCATCTTATTATTTAATATGGATAGAAGTTATTCAGATTATATTGATATAATAGATGAAGTAGAGAATATAGAACAAGTAATAATAACTGACAATAAAATTAAGAAATGCTGTTATTATACATTAGAATTAATAAAATTAGGAATACAATATATCAAAAATAAAAATGTAAATATTAATATAAATGGGAAAAAAGAAAAAGAGTAAATCAAATTCAATACTAGATAATGAAAGACCAATGCCAGATATTGAAGCTCGGAAAGAAACAACAGTAAGTGTTAAATCATTAGGTGTGTGTAAAGAAATAAAATGTGATAAATGTAATCATATTATGAACTTTCAAAATGAATTAATAGTAGATAAAAAAGGCGGTGTTAATATTAAATGTATTCCGTGTATGTTATCAGTCAAGAAGAAAGACCAAGAAATGAGTGTAGTGAAGAAGAAGGACGGAGATATGACAATAGAAACAAATGACCATTTAGTCAATGTTAGTTTTAATAGGGTAATAACATAGTATTTAAAGAGTAGATTTTACATTAAATCAATGTTATAAATAAATATATATTTAAATAAATAATTATATAAATAAATATATATAGAAATGTCTGAAGTTGAGAATGATGCTATTGCTGAACTATCAAAGAAGATAATGACAGTTAGTAAAAATGTTAAACTGTTGTACGAGATGATAAAACCTATTGACCAGAAACTTGATGCAAAGGCAAACGAACCAAAAAATAACAATGAAGAGAAGGAAAAGATTGATAAGATCTTTGAAAAGAAAGGGATAGGCAGACCCAGCGGTGATTATGACACGAAGCGTAAAAAAATATTGTGATATGTTAAATAAGGGACAAATCAAAAGTCCAAAAGAACAAACATTAGAATATTATAAACTAATTAAGGGCGATGATGGTAAATATGTAATTGTTGAAAATTAAAATACAAATAGTTCTAATAATATGAATTTATTAGAATTATTTTCAGGCAGTGGTTCTGTTTGTAAAATTGCACGGGATTTAAGTTTTAATGATGATAATCCAATTTTAGCAATTATAATTTAATTATGATAATTTAATTATAATTTTAATTTATTAATTTAATTTTAATTTATTAATTCAATTTTATTTTATTAATTTAATTTTATTTTATTAATTTAATTTTAATTTATTAATTTAATTTTAATTTATTAATTTAATTTCTTGTAAAAAGTGCTTAAAGAAATATTAATTATATATATATTATCATACAAATGGTTGTATTTACAGAGGTTGAACAGGAAGAAATTATCAATGAATTCTTAACTTATATTGAACAACAGGAAACTAAAATAATTGATGATTGTTTGAGTGATAATGATAATAAAACAGAAGAAGAAGAAGAAGAAGATGACAGTTACGGATTTGTAACTGAAAAACGGTTAGAAAAGGAAGTTACAGAACATCATAAAATGATAAACAATATTGAAACGAAAAATTACATCCCATTAAAACATGCAATGATAAAATATATGGAACAAACCAACAACCAACGAATAATTAGAAATGCTGGAAACTATTCATACAGTCAAAAGACATCCAATTGGTGGTATTTAAGCTTTAGAGAATTTGAATGGTTAATCGAAATAAAAAAGAATGGCAACAAATGGATTTGTAGCAAAGAAAAATTAGATGCAGTTGATTTTAACATATTGTATAAATATAAAATGTTTGAAAGAAGATTTGAATAATTATAAAAAACGAATGAACCAGACCTTGCCCATAATATGTCTACAAAATTTGTGATAAAATTTATTGTAAAATAATTTATCATAATTTTTGGAATAATATTTATTGAAAATTTATATTTTTTTTTATTTTTTTTGTAAAATTTTTATTTTTTTATTTTTTTTGTAAAATTTATTTTTTTTTAAAAAAAATGATTTTTTTAAAATTTTTCAAAATTTACTTTTAAAAATATATATTTTAAAATATGGATGAACTTACTAGGAAATTACCTGCTTTAAAATGTTGATTTTTGAAAATGTGCTTTTTGAGGTGCTGTTTTAAAATGTTGCTAAAAGTGTGGGGAGGACCCTAGGATTTTTTTATAGAAAAAAGATGGGCAAGGTCTAGTCTAACTCCTAGTCCATTGTTTTTGGTGGCTGTGTGGCCCCGACCCTCTAGAAACTCCTCCAGGTTTCCATGAGGCTTGAGGAATGGGTGCTGGCAATTGGGTCGATTCGGATGCTACACATATGGCAGTGGTTGTCAAAAATGGGGCAACCCCCAAATGGGTTGCCCTAGTAAAATGGAAACAAGGACTAAAACCTGCGGTCCAATTCCTGGTGGTTTATTTTTGACCCGTACCCATATGATCGTCCTTTGGCTCCGTTGAAAAGCCAACCCCCTTTGGTTGACTCAGTTTTACAGACTGACGAATGTGAAACCTCCGGTCCAAAAGGTGGGGGGGGGTCGTTCTGTGACCTTCTGTGACTGGACAAACAATCGGCATGCAAAAGGATCGCCTCGCGTGTAGGAGGCAAGCAGGAACTGTTCTTTAGTTGAAGGGCAGTTCCCTTGGATATTTGCCTCAAGGCAGTACTCACTTCCTGAGTAGATTGCGCAGAAAAAGTACTCGGACTTGCGATTTGCCACAAATATAGTCTTCCCAAAGTGTTAACAGTCGAAGGAACTCGGGAAGCGATAAACTTCATATACTGGCAAACTGAAAACCCTCATCTTGGCTGAAAGCCTGACCGTTGGCCCTCATTTGGGCTCCAAAATAACACGTTCTGACTATGGTCCATATGTGGTCTACCCCAAACTGCACAATAGGACGCCCTGGCGGCTGGGGAAGGGAACAAAAATCGGGTGGCTCAATGGCTCCCCGTATCCCAAAGGGCCGGCTGGACGTCTTGCCCAAGGCGCCATGCTGGGCCATGAGGTCCTCCGCGAGGAATTCTTCGTTTGCGGTTTCTTTCGGCGAGAGTTATTATGAACGGGGGATCCTGTTGACGCCCTTTGTTGACCTTGTTTGGCTGTGGCCCGTACGCCCAGTGAACATCCTAATCCCCACTAAAATAGACTAAAATGGGTGGTGTTGACCCACGGCCATTTTGGGCTTAGTTGGGCTCCCCCCCCTCCTCCCCAATAGAGCCCCCATGATCTCATGATGCTATTGAAGCAACCCGCTTTTTTGGGACTCCAAGGCCGTGCAAGCGAAGGTGTTCTGATGGCTTAGAATTTTCACCCGAACATAAACTTAAAGGGCATTGCGAAGCCCAGCGCCGTCATTTGCCCAGCCTCTTGGTTCAAAGGGAAAATTATATACTCAAGGGCAAAAAGGAAGAGCAAGGTGAGTGTTTTTGCAGAAGCCCCGTCCAAGCCGTACTTTCCACCGCTGCTAAGTCCACAGATTTGGAAAGCAAGCCTTGAATATATCAATCATATCGTATTATTCAAACAAAACATGATGGTCACTCCAATTGTGTTATTGCTTGCCGGTAGTGTCCTTGTGTCAGCTGTCATAGTTCCACCTGTATTTGGTGGCACTTGCGAACAGGAGCTACTTTGTAGCATCATGCCATAAAGCAACACGATATAAAGCAACCCACCATGAATGAGCAAGTGAGCACGCCACAATAAACAAGCATCCGCCATGGGTTCAGATGGTGCTCTCTCCAAACCACCAATCCAAGTGGAAGGACAGACTTCTAACCGGGCCTGCTTTCCTGTGCAAGGCATGGGGAGTCTGGGAAAACAACACATCCCCTTTTAGTCTCCTTTGGGAAAATGAGCAATGGGCCATTTAACAACCCAACTTCTGGCCCTAGTTCTTTGCCATAAGACTGAAGCCGGAACAAGACCCAACGGACAGGTCCAGCCCATAAGAACAATGGGTATGTCTCAAAATGGGGGCCCCTCAAATGCTGGTTTTCTTAAGGGTTTCCCGTGACGACCAACTAAAAGGGGGGGTTCCCGCGGAAAACAAACGCCCATATTGCGAGTCCTGTCTAGATCACTTCAATTCAAATGTACATCGCACATTTGCTCCATGCACATCTGTTTGGGATGGCAAGACACGCCAGGTTTCACATGGAGAAGGATTGATTTGGAGAGCAAGGTTCTTTAGTCTTCTAGTTGTGCTATGCCAAGTGGGTGGCAAATGACGACCTTGTGGAACTTCGCCTTCGATGGATTCAACATCCGTGATCCTTGAACAAATTCGCTGTCCCCAAAATTCAGTCGTCCTGGCCCCATCCTTACAGGATCTGGGAGTCTTGGAGAATCCCGGTAACTTTGACGAACAGGCATCGATGCTAGATCAGCTTTGGCTGGAACATCCTCGTCTAGCGCCAATGAACGTGGCATCCTCTACAACTAGGGTGTTTTTGTTCTCCATTTGCTATTCGTGTATGCAGATTCCGAGTGCTTCCCAACTTGCCAGGAGCTTCCGAAACGGCATTTGCGGGGAGGGAAGCGGGTGTGCCTTTTGGGGGGGGGCAGGGGGTTAAGTTTGGTGGGCAAAGGGAAATCATAGGAAAACCACCATTTTGGGCTGCTCTTACCCCCTGAGCAAAAGGTCCAACCTTTACTTGGTTGCCGTTGGAAGGGGAGCGAAAATCTGAGCTTTAGCGTTTAAGTGGGATTTCCCACGAAGCCACAATAAGCAAAGATGTAAACTGTTTCCCAACACCAACTATGTTTAATGATTTAATGGAAAAGCAATTTGGTTCTGAAAGGTGGAAGGGGCCAAGGACACGCCGAAAACTAACCATCGGTGCCTCCCACAAAAAAGACAAACCCAAGTGGATCGGGGAACCAGAGCTCCATGTAAGCAACTAGGGCGGATATCCAGCTATTGGTGATGAGTACTATCCAACCTTGAGGAAATTAACTTCTCCAGTGATGCGGATCAGAATAATAGACCCTTCAACTTGCCGGAAGGACCTGGAAAAAGCCTCATTCAGTCTTGACGAAAAATGGGCCAAAAAGCCAAGAGACCACTGAGCCAACTCGAGTTATATACCAACCCGCTCCCAAATTACCCAGCACGACTCTCGGCGGCTCCCCAAGGGAAGGCGCCGAGGGATCCTTCGCAGTTCCTGGCGAGGCGAATTGGTCTCAAGCCGCAACCTGGGAGTCTCCACATGGCCGGTTGATCAAATGGTCCGAATGGGGTAAGCATTCGGGACACCACCCAAACAAAAATGACTTTCGCCTGGGAAACGTTTCTCATGGTCATTTTGGGGCCAGGAAAATTGATCAACCCTCATATACCCAGACACTTGCAGACTCCAGGGCCCTCGAAACATGCTCAGGGGGTCGGCCATGACCCATTTCTGCAAGGGTCCAAGAAGACTCCACAGGTGGGTTCACGGTCGGCAAAGGGAAAGTTGAGAGATCCTCTCTATGTGAATCCGTGCCACTTGCAGCATCATGTAATGGACTTCTCATTCCAAGTGGACATTCTTCACTTGCAAACTATCCAAGAAAAATTGGGTATCTGTATATATGTGCATACCCTTTGCAAAACTACGCTTTCTTGTCTGCCCGTGGGCACCAAGGTCTGAGCCAATCAGCGCCGCGCTTTCGCGTTCTCATTGCTCACTGAACCGCCTCTGGTCAAAATCCCGTACCCCCAGTGAACATCCCAATCCCCACTAAAATAGGTTCTAAAATGGGTGGTGCACCTACCCCAAGATGGGATCCCATTGGTTTTGACCCACAGCCATATCAGGGCCATATTTGAGGAGCTTCACTTGGCCATGGTAGGCCAACTGAGCCGTGCCGCACACCTGAGCTGATGGCACTACTTACAACCCCAACGAGGCCAGGTAGAACCGCTTGCTTTTTTGTGGCCAAGGGGTGTCAGGCGCTGCTCAATTCAAAGATTCCCTCAAGCTTTACATTGCTTGTCTAAAACTTTCAAACCTCCAAGTCTTAGCTGATCCATAACCTACCCAAGTAAAGGAACCGGTCTGTTCACCATGCAACTGGTTGATGCCTTGATTTGACACTCACCTTAGCTTCCCGCTCTTGGTTTGGATGGAGCTTTGGGGCGGTTTCCCATTTACTCTCAACAAGAACCAGGGTTCAAATCCTCAGTTCCCACCAATCCACCCCACAATCCAAAACGAGCTTGATGAACTTGCTGGTTCAACGGGCAGGGAATGAGGCAATCCGCATACACCTTCCCTGGTTTGTTCCTTTCAGATCCCTAGGTTCATTCTCCGTTCCAGTAAGCCGAAACGCACTCAGGCGCACAGCTGGGACAGGATCGCGTCTGCGGAACCGCCGGAAAGGAGCGAGCGTGCCTTGCCATCAGCCAGTGTCCCAAGGACTTGTCCTTGACGCTGACAGTCCCCGCAACCAAGACCTTCTCTCCAAAAGTCGCGTAGCTTCAGGCGAAGCCTTCCTATACGATCCTCCTTCTCGCAAAAGCCAGCGCTCTCGGCTGTGGCAATACATGGATCACCTGACCGGTTTGCCAAATAGGCCTCCCGAACTCGCCAACCTAGCATCACCCCAC